GGGTGGGGCTGGTGTGACCTCTGAAGCCGCAGGAGGGGCAGGGCTGGTGTGACCTCTGAAGCTTCTGGGGGTGGGGCTGGTGTGACCTCTGAAGCTTCTGGGGGTGGGGCTGGTGTGACCTCTGAAGCTTCTGGGGGGGCGGAGCTGGTGTGACCTCTGAAGCTTCTGGGGGTGGGGTTGGTGTGACCTCTGAAGCTTCTGGGGGTGGGGTTGGTGTGACCTCTGAAGCTTCTGGGGGTGGGGCTGGTGTGACCTCTGAAGCTTCTGGGGGGCGGGGCTGGTGTGACCTCTGAAGCCTCTGGGGGGGCGGGGCTGGTGTGACCTCTGAAGCTTGGGGGGCCCACAGTCTTTACTGTTTACTCTTTGCTGGGGAGGGGCCTCATGAATCTGGTCAGTTTCAGGGACTTTTGAAGCCAGTTTGAGTTACCCACCCTAACATCTCTTTCAATTTGGGGGTGGGAGAATCTGAAAACTACATGATTTATAAAATATTTCCTCTTTGACCCTTAATGTCAATCACCTTGTGAACTTCCTGGGAGGGGAGGCACGTTTCTCCAAATGACTACCACGTTTATCTACACCCACCCAACTGATCCTTATATTTAAACAGTATATCAGAAAAGGTTAGGAAAAAAAAAAAAAAAACAAGAGTATTACAAAGTGCAATCTATTTGCATATAATTATGTTTTGTGTCCTATTTATTTGGAGGGGGCGCTGCGTGCCTCCGTGTTCGTGTGGTGGGACATCAAAGGACAGCAGCCTGGAGTCGGTGTTCTCGTTCAGGGATCGAACTCAGGTCATCAGGTTTGGTAGCAAGTGCCCTCACCCACGGATCCATCTCGCCAGCCCTGGGAACTGTGAGGCCCTCCTTCCACTCAATACAGCTATACTTTGTGTAAAGGCAGAGGACAAATGAGCAAGGAAGAACACCTTGAGAATAGCGCGAGATGGCTGCAAGGATAAGTAGTGCATCTGGGGTAGATGAAGTTCTCCAAGGAGCTCCCCTGCGTAGGTGGTTGGGGAGAAGTCCTGCCTCACATTGGACGCACCTGTAAGAGCAAGCCTTGAAGACAGTTAACTTGGCGGGGGCGGGTTTGGGGGGGTGTGATATGCTAAGTGCTCACCAATCGGTGCTACGTGGAAGAGGATGTGGAGCCTGCCCCAGCCAATGGGAAGGGAGGATGCCATCGGCTTGGACACCCAGAGCCTATAAGGGGTTGGGGAGAAGCCAAGAAAGGTTTGTTCTATCTGCTTTGGGGAAGATGTGTTTTGCTAGAAGGAGCCTAGAAGTCTGATCCGTTTCAGGGGTGAGTGTTCAAATCTTTCTCATTGTCTCAACTTTTTTGTTCGAATGACAGGGAGTTTACCCACCCCAGCTGGCCCCTATTGAAAATATAAAACATAGGCCTAAGAGCTAGCTCAGAACTGGAGAGTTCTCACCAATGACCTCCCCATATATCCCAGTTTCTGGCATCATGTCCTAAATCCCAGTTCTGAGAGCCTGGGCACCAACAGACTGGCCAGAGCTGGCAAACCCCTAAAGAACCAGAAGAGGCCGTCTTCTCTCATGCTCAGAGGTTAACCACTGGCACATGTGTTAAGAAAAATCAAATCGGCCGGGTGGTGGGGGCACACGCCCTTAATCCTAGCACTCGGGAGGCAGAGCCAGGCGGATCTCTGTGAGTTGGAGGCCAGCCTGGTCTACAGAGAGAGTTCCAGGAAAGGCGCAGAGCTACACAGAGAAACCCTGTCAGAGAGAGAGAGAGAGAGAGAG